TACACTAAAGTATTGGAAATATAACTTGGTCAATTTTGGTCCTACAAATCTCGAAATAGTGGCATTCGACGGGGCTCATTCTCCGGATTATGATCATATAAAAACTTCTTAGTTTATCTTACAAAATATTGTAAAAAATAGGTTTTACTAAAACGTTGCAAACCCGTGTAATTTCAACGGGACGGTTCCAATTAGACACACATTTCGCTGTACGGTTCCCGTTTGGCACAGAGCCTAATTGGAACTAAAACGACCCTCTCTCTAGTAAATCTCCCTCCGATCCATCTCCGATGGGAATTTCATAATAATTTTTAGATCATTAAATAGCTAAAACTTTCAACTACAAAAGCCCCCAAATTCGGTAAAAATCGCTTCAAAACTCACTCAGATACTGAAGTCACAAGTTAGACAAATTTGGTTGCGGTTCCAATTAGACACTTTACTCTATAAAATCTATCTTTTCTACTCCATTTTATTCATTTTTTCTATAGATTACTTTTTATATATAACACATATATATATAACTCTTATATATAGCATATCAAAGAACACAGGAACTGTGCTAATTAATTAGAGACAGTATATATATATTCTATTTCACTTTATCACTTCCTAATATGTAAAAGTGGTTTGGGAGTCATAGATTAGGGATGTCGATTACGCTGTACATTAAGATAACCGTGATTTTTACTCAAGGATCTGGCTGAGATTTCATGTTTCCTGCTACACTACAGTACAACATATCAAAATTTGATGGTTTTTTTCTAGAGAAGTGCGCCTCGAGATTTTTTCATATTCGGAAGAAAAAAGATCCCGTTTAGTTTTTCAGATATGTGGCTCTCAATATTGGTTATTAACGTTTATTAAATCATACTTTCTTCTTTTATATTCAGCAACCAGATAAACTGCTCTTTTTGATTACCATGACTTTCCGGCTGTCTCGCCGGGTCATGATAATCAGTCATAATATGTGTTCAAACTTTAGTTATTCAGTGAATGAATATTCACATTAATTTTATGTAGAAAATGAAATAAAGTAAAAATGAAACATGAAAATAAGAGTATGCTACAGCATGACTACTATATATGTATAGGAAACCTTATTTCTCTTTAAAGAACAAAATAAGGAAAGACAGATTATATATTTTTATTGACATGTTCGTTTCGTCTCTGTTCAGAAGAAGTACGTTATGATTTTATTCTATATTCTGCCACTTCGCGAATTAAAACTAAAATAATTAGAGAGGACCCTTTTTCACTTTTTATACTAATCTGAAGCACATAAGTTGTACTATACATTAATCTGTGTTTTAGAAAAAAGTCTCTTTCGGTTTTAAAGATATAGAATGGTCAATATCACAGATTAAAGATAGTAAAATGTATGAATTTCACTTTAGTTTTAAAAACTTCACGAATTTGGAATGATCAACAGAACTTTCTTGATCAACTTTCTGAACATGATACTCAGAGGAGGCACGCTGGAGCTTTGTTTTTTCCAGTGAAAAGACTAAAGAAAAGTGAAACCCATACGTTTTACAACCTTTAATCTGTGATATTGACAGCTCTTTATCTTAAAAACTAAAAGGGATCTTTTTCTAAAAAACAGATTAATATATAAACCTATACAACACAGTGGCATCATTTTAGACACAACTTGTATAAATTTAGCATGTACTTAATTATACATAACTGTTTATCAATTTGTAACTGTTTATTATCAATATACAATACAATTTCTCATCAGTGCAATAAACACTATCTTCTTCATCGATATAATCGACAGATATTCGAATATGGATTGCATTCAAATCATCCGAACGCCCTAATATTTCCATTACGTTCGGTGTGAATGGTTTCAGAAGTTTAGTGAATGTATTATGTTGTTCGGATGAGTTAGTTATTTGTAAAGGTCGCTGGACCTACCCAAAAAAAATATCCGACGATCTTTCATTATTTTCTATAGGATATTACGGTACTTAGATCTGATCTCGCAATCCTGCGATATATTTCCTGCATTATTGCAGAAAAATGCATAATAAAATACACATGACAATGTTCCTCAATTTTATCTGCTAGGTTCAGCTTTGTACAACTTGAGCTTCACGGTGTAAAATGATAACTACTATTTCTCGTCATTTAGAACAAGGTGATTTTTAACTAGTTGCATCTAGTTGAAAATCGCCTTACGCTAGACGCATCGCCTGATTTTAACGATAAGATGGAATGGAATTGACTTAAAACGGTGTTCAAGTAAATGAATCGATCAACATATCCCACGATCCATCGCCTGACACATTGTAGGATGTATCGGCAGCTTTATCAGGAGATTTCACGTGTATCTCATGTGGAGGCGATACACAATTAGATTCATCTCTCGATATATTACCCGATGAATCGGCTTAATATCGCTACTAGATACATAACTAGATATACCAGGAAATGAATCGACTGTATCGGCCGAAAACCCGATTCAACTTTTTCTTTTTTATGCATCTAGATGTATCGCGTTTTGTATCTAATATATCTAGCTGCATGGAGTGATATCCGATACGTTTTTCATGCTTGGAAATCAGAAGTTGGACAGAAATTGGCGAAACATGAACTGATGGCATTAACAACACAGGATATGAGTGTGCAGCAAAAAAATAAATCCGAACCAACAAAACAAGATTAAAAAGAAAGAAAGATTCAATCGTCATCTTTGATGTTTTGAGTAGTGTAAAAAGTGAATAATGCACGTATAAGAATATGTATAACATAACATCTAATTCAAGAAGAACCACTATTATTTACTTTTATCTTTGTTCCAGTTCCCGTTTCGTCTCAATAGGATATGTTTGTGCTATTGCCGTCATATCTTTTCTCTCTTTTGCAAAAACACTAGAGAAAAAGAGAGAATCTAAAGACTAAACAGATAGAACCGTCAAAGATAAGAGATACACATACATGCACAACTACGTTTTTGTTTTCTCTTATTTTGAAAAGAAATTCTTTGGTATCTATATATCGTTGGAAATCATTTTTAAAGAAATTGAAAGGTTTGAAATTAAAAATAAAAATCACTAATGCCGGTCGCTTCGTTTGTTATACTTTCTTTACTGTTCGTCTAGTCTTTGAGTCATACATTAAAAAGTATTTATAAATTAATTTTCTTTTTCTTTCTTTCTTTCTTTCTTTCTTCTGATCTAGACAACATAGATAGTCCGTCAACTAACTCAACGTGCGCCATACAACAAACACAAAAAGCAGACAACACAGAAATAGAAATTATATCAAAAATAAACGTAAATAATAATGGTTCTTATTGGACTAGATGCTAGAGAGTGTATGCTTCCTTATGATTTTCAAATTGAGTCAGGGGTCTACGCACGATTTTTCCGCTCAAATTTTCTCAATAGTATTAAATTTCATTAGTCAAGGTATACAAAATACAGAGATATATTTTATTTTGTTGGTTTTTTCTGAAATACATATGTGTAGAAAAGAACAAAACTTGTGTCATATTTATCTAATTACGCTTCTATATTTTGTAACTGCTCTATAAGGTCATATGTATAACATAAAAAGTATACGATATTAATAATATCTGAAAATATAAGCTCAAGAACAATTTCTACTGGTAGTAGCCCTTAGGTAGGTTTGATCATATTTGATTTGATGTTAACTATTTTATTCAAAAGAGAAGTGTGGACTACTAGATTTGTTGTGAATGGGAATCAGAGAGATATTCAACCTCACTGTTAAAGATGAAAGGATATATTTGAAGTACCGTCAGTAAGATATGTTATTTGATGATAAAAAGCTTTTTTCGAGAAAAAAAAAGTGCGGTGATAACTCAATATGTCCTTTGTTTTTTCAAAGTGTAAATGACAACGAATGGTTGAACGCTATCGACGCCGAGATAGTTTGACTGATTTGCATGATGCTGTTCTCAAGAATTCGATAGTAGAACTACAGAGTCACCTTTTTTTTTTTGTGAAGATATAAGCGTCACGGTAAATGCGCTGAAAAAGTGACCTGTGGACAAAATGCCTTTTCCTCTAAAAGTATTTTTGTTGCTGCCGGGCTTCTTTGCTACGCATTACGACTCGCCTTCAGTTTCATCCGATCGAGTCAAAAATTTGACAGAACCATGTGCAATCTTCTTTTCACGTCAAGTTAGAAAAGACACGCTAAGAGAAATAAGAAAATAAGAGTGAGATGACAGAAAATTCGCATTCGCGGAGAACTGAGTTATTCTGTACTATTGGTACCCAACATGTCTTCATACTGGCTATAGCCATTATGTATAGACTCACAATGTTTATTTTTTTCTCTCACTAGCTCAAGTCAGAATCGATTGCGAATTCTCTGTTATTTTCTGCTTCCTATTCGTTACAAAATACAACGTACTCGGTTGCTTTAGAATACCTTTTGTTAGAAAAGAGACAATAACCTGCGGTTTTCAGCATTATATAGCCGCGGCTTTAAGACATGCTTTTGCAACGAAAAACTAGTTTTGAAAAAATTTCAAAGGCCGGTTTTCCATCTGATCTTCTGTAAACCGCCTTCGGTTTCCAGAAATGAAAGTAGCAATCTATTGATTATTTCACATAGACAGATACTCCGAAGTGTCTTCTACAGAATGAGATCCGAGCGACCTTTTAGTTTTGATTGGTTTTGCACGCTACACAGTTTTTCCCGAACCACCAGGATTGGACTATCTTCTTGTCTAACATTCTCAGAAGCACAGAATACATGCATAATCGCTGCTCCTGACTAACGTAACAACGTTCAATTTCCTATAATAAATGAAATAAGTTTGATTGCTGAGTTGGCAAAACCGCAACTTTTGTCTCTTTTCTAACAAAAGTTATTCAGAAAACAACTGAATACGTTGTATTTCGAAACGGATGCTAGTGGAGGTCACCATCCAGGTAACGATCGTGACTCACTCTCATGGCATCTCATATGAGATAATGATGAATTATGGGTGCCCCTCCGAATTATTAACAGATCGTGGCCCGAGTACCATGTCTCGGGAACTTCGTACGTATTTACAAACAATGGGCACAAAGCATCTGCTAACGTCCGCCTACCATCCACAGACAAATGGTACTGTTGAGAGGTTTAACAGAACATTTATCAGCATGTTAAGAAAATATATCCAAGGAAAAACAACGAAATGGGATGAATTCGTTGATCAAGCTCTATTTGCATGCCGGGTACGTGTTCATCAGTCAACAGGTAGAACATCGTTCTTTATGGTGTATGGTGTTGAACCTAAGATTCCTGGAGATGAATTAACACCAATACTTGATGAACAGAGGAAGAAGATGCATCCGTATTGGTTAGGACCATTCAAAATAAGAAAAGTATTTTCTCTAGGAACTTTTCAGCTTGAGGACGTCAGTGGACAGATAAAACCAGATTTAGTCCACCGAAATAGACTAAAACTAGCATTGCACGCCACCACACCAGAAACTCGATGGTATAAACCAACGCGTCGAACATAAATCCACTATCTATATACTAAAGATCCACTATAAAGAGGGGGAGAGTGTTGAGATTGATTGTAGCCTTAACAACGAAAGTACTGAAATGAAACTATAAACACAAAAAGAACATTTCTTGATTTTCGTTTAAACAAAATGTGGAAGGTTGTTTATAATATTTCTTTATGATTCAGCACGATAAAGAGTAGAGTTAATCAAGATCCTCAATTGATTTAATGAAGGTTTCAAAGAAGTTTATTACTGAGCGTGAGAATAACTTGTCATCAAAAATGCCAAGGTCACAACCATTATCGTATGTTGATCTTTCACACGGTATCACAATTATTTTTATGAAATCTATGTACGAGAAATGAGTATCTTATTCTTCATATCTTCGATTCTTTCGTTGGATTTTA